GTATTTGGTATTTTGTGTTTTGTGTTTATGTTATAATTTCATTTGAACAATGTAAATATTGCAAAAGCGTGCTGAAATACATACATATGTATATCGAGAGGAAGAAGAGAAAAAAAATTACAATATGAATTTAAAATAGTTCCACAAAACGATCGTTTAAAGTTTGCTCATATATATCTACATATGTGTGTATATAAATAATATTTGACACACACACACACACACACATACACACACACACACATGAATACAGATATTAATCAATTTATTACATAATTGCACAAATTTGTTTATATATATGTATATACATATATTTTAAAAATACATGTGAACAAGTAGCTAAATGTTAGAAAAATTTTGTATCCTACCCATTCCAAGGGCTTCCCCAAGAATTTTCTGTTTCGTTTTCGCAGTGTTGCTGTTCGTGCCCCTTCGTGTTTGGCAGCCTTTTTGCTGCATAATGCTGCTTTGCTTACAAAACGGTTAAATTAAATGAAACATAACGGTTATAACACGCCACACAACAAGAAGTGTTGTCGTATAGAATTTTTTTTTTGCCTGTGACTTTTATTAACTACATCAGTCTCTTTTTTATAATAACCTTATAATTATCTAAAGTTATTCATTGGTGGTGTTAAGAAATTGATAAATATATATGTACATGCATATATGTATATATTTATATTTATATTTATAAAATAAGAGCGTATAATTGACATATGTGTAATTGTAAAACCTCTGTTAATCCAATAACAGTGTCTGTTATTAAAGATGACAAAATATTTGAAAAATTAAGCAATGTGAAAAGATTTAAAGAAAAAGTGCAATTGACTTAAAAATATTATTTAAAGAACGTTATCCAGAATTTAGAGATGTATATACATACATACATACTTACCACATGAACAGTATGTTTCATATTGCGACAAGAAAAAGTGCGAAAATATATTAAAATTGTTATATTTAATTAATACAATTGATTCATAAGCATAAGAGTGTTACTTACTAAATTCATTGTTAATTGTTTAAAAGTCCGGTTTAAGTTTAATTAATTTGCCATGCGAGTACATAATATACATACATATGTAATATAATATATGTTCATATATGTATGTATGTAAGAAAATTTCTAATCAATACGAAAAGTCAGTTCGATGCCAAAAATATTTTAGGTAAAAAACTTCGCAAAAGCACAAAAAGAAGTCTTTTTTTAGGAAAAGAGTTTGGTTATGTATTTTAAAATAAACTCTTAGCCCAGTTTAAAGGTGGCACTGGACACTAAACCACTTAGTCCCCTAAGTTGACTATTTAATTTTGTAAGCTCAGCTTTAGACATGTAAATTTGCTAGTGGCTAGCTTGTGCGTCTAAATCGTACACATACATACATATAATTTAGTATATTTGTTTGCTATATAAATAGTTATATAATTCCAGAAGCAATAATCGGATTTAAGGTAACAGACAGCTTTATTTCTTGGTAACAATATTTCTAATAAAAATTGGTAATATAATGAAATTGATTTATATTATTTTAATGACAATGACTAGTTCAATAGACACACCAACTTGTACATATAAATTTTTGTATGCTTGGCTCCATTGCCAAGGAATGGTGTAAGGAAGTAGTTGTTTGATCCTTTTGAACGACTTCACGTCGCCTTTGCCTAAATGACTTGTCTGGTTATCTTGTTTTTTGTACGTTTGTGCTGAATTCACAGCTAACAAGAACAAGAACAAGAACACCCCAATCCACACCACTCATTTAAGTTACACAATTCTACTTATGCTTTATGCTGTTTCGGACTTCCACTCTCTCTCCACAAAACGTTTTTAACAGTTCGCTACAGCAAATGTATTTTATTATGAGACAAGAATTATGTATGTGAATATGCAACGAAGTGGTACGTACTACGTACTCGGTACTACGTACACCAGCACAAGTACGGAAGCCAGCGGTTGTAGTTTAAAAAATATTCGTATGTTCAGACACTGTCAAGTAAAGGCCTGCAATTTAATCACGACATAACATATAGAGTCGTCGAAAGGATAAAAAATTATGTATGAATATATATTGCTATATACCTCATAAAAACTGTAGTGATTACTCACTATATCACTATAATTTAATTGCATTTGAGGAAGTATTTTGGTCTTGGTGTTTTCATATAGTGTTTGTATACATATAGTGAATATTTAAAGAAAACTATTTTTGCTCCCTGTTCATAGTTTATCCAATGATTTACAGAATATTATTTCTAAATAAAATTGTGATTTTTTCTTTTTTTTTCTAGTGTTTTTGAGTGTATTAAATCATCGTTTACTAACATTTGTATGTGCGATACGGAAACGCCAATTATAATACTGTAAGGTAGAAATCCGAACACAGCCGATAACATTGCTTCCCTCGTAGTTTGAAACAAGTATAGGCCACTTAAGTGTGGCGCCATAACCGGCACAAATATGAGAAACAAATAATGAGGCGCTATAATACAAACCGAACTTTTCTAAACTTAGTTAAAGCTAGATTGTCCTACATGTTATTAATTTAAATTATTAAATATTTGTTAAAACCCCTTAATGGCTGTGTGTGAATTGCTAAAGAGCGTTTATCTTTGATTTGTGTGCATCATGCTTAAACGGGGCTCTAAATTAAAACCGGGTGCACATACAGCATCCTTGAATTGCGAAGTTCTAGTGGCAAAATAATTAAATAGAAATAGAGTAGTGGTGCTCATGATCTTCGAGTAAAAGTACTCTGTTACTCGGTCACTGAGTTCGTTACTGGAGAGCTTGAGTATCTGCCTTTGAATTCGTTTAGTTTAGTTTTTAACACAATTATCTTTGGATATTGTGTATTAAACAAAAACAATGAAAATATATGTATGGCTTTGCGCCTGGTATTGTGTATGTATGTATATATGTAAATATGTATGTGAATTGTTTTAGAAATGAGCAGCAACATTATAATTTATTGAATGCAAATGTATGAATTAATTTCGTAAGTGTGGTGTTATGTTATTTTTAAAAGCAAAACTGTGTTTGTACTGCATAAATTGTTTAAAATTTATTGTGTTACTGCTGCCAATACTAAGTGTTAACGGCGAAAGAATTTTACATATTGGTGGCGGAGAAGAACCAACATCAACAATAATAAGTAAAGAATACGAAACAAAAACTATAAATAAAAACGAAAATAAAACCGCAAAGAAGCTGTGGACATATTTTTTAAATTACGATAATCTAGTTTTGGATACTGATGCTACGGTCTTAGATAGTTTGCTGTATATTAGGTATAATGTATTACCAAATAGAACACATCGTCTGAATGAGGACAACAGCAATTTAGAAATAAAATGCAGGAACAAATTGAGTAAAGCCTTTCACTTCTGTCATAACTTTGCTTTGGAGCTAATAATATGTATGTTAGCATTTGCTAGTATTGAATATCTAATATATGTTTGGGTAGTTTTACGTTATCTGATATGGAGCTTAGTATATTGCTTTCTATGGATTTTATGGAAAAATTTCTATGTTTTGTACAAAAGGTTTATAGGGCAAACAATATTCGATGGAGAGGAGAAAATTATGGTGTCCAGTGGCTATGGACAAAGCGTAGAAGAAAACTACTGTTTACATTCCCAGTGTAAACTACAGCAAAGACTATTTAATCAAATATTGCTTAACAAGGACTATTATTATTATTATTTAGATTGTAGTGTTCCCACATTGGCATTGCGCAAACTTATGCTTGCTAATACGTGTGAATCGATTACAACATCTTTCGGCAATCGCATTATATTTGTGCGTGCATATAATCATTATTTATATTATGCTTTTTCACCAATGAAACACTGCTCTAAGTATTGCGGCGAAATGTATCAACGACCCTGTCATCAGAAAGTAATGCATTCAGATGATTTAATTCCTACTAAACACAAAACACGAACACGAGATAAACAAGAGGATGATCTGAACAGACAAGACCAGCAGCCGAGCCAGCCTTTATACAAGCAGCAAGAAATCCATTCGCATCTTTATCAACAGCAGCAGGATTCATGCAAAGCCTGCAGTTGTTGCGATGTCAATTGTTGCTATTGTTGCTGCTGTTTTCGATGGTGTTACTGTTATTGTTACTGCTGTTGTTTTTGCTGCAGGTATTGCTGCTATTACTATTGCTGTTGTTACGTCTACTACAATTACCAATATATTTGCTCTACTCGACATTCACGCTGCAATTTTTGCTATTGTTGCTACTGTCCATATCAATATTGCAATTATATTAACACTTACGCTAAAAAAACAGCTCATTTACGCAAACAACTCGAAAAACAGAATCAACAGCAACAGAAACAACAAAAACAACAAAAACAACAAAAACAACAAAAACAACAGGCACAGACTTGTCATTTTTACTGGAATCAATCAATCAATGCCGATTCTTTGAAATGCAATCTTGAGTGTTGTACAGGAGATGGATATAATTCTTTTTTGCATAAGCAATTAAGCCACGATTTTATTTCTTCAGCTTCAATTATGCTCCGAGGGCTTCTTTTAACCCTCTGGAACTGTTTTTCTGCCTCAATATATCATAAAGGGCAAAGGCGACATTTTTTCTACATAATTCATATAAGAGATGTTAATATATTGAAATTGTGTGGTAATACAGTTCTTTGCTTTGTCTATTACAATATAAATAAAAATTTGAGTAAAACCTTTTTAATATGCTGCAAATATAATCATATGCGTCGCAGAAAACGAAGGAGATACAAGGGAAGACGACGGCGTCGAAGACGTAAGGTCAAAAAATTTTCAAACTACCAGTGGCTACATGTCGCATTGCAATTGCTGACATGTGGCGGAGAAAATAAAATAATGAAATTTTATATCAAGAAAGAAACTAAATTTCATAACAAATTAAACAATGTAAAAAATTTTTTATTATTTAACGCGTTTAAAACAATCAAAGAAAAAATATCAGGAAGAACAACATCAGAAGCAATTAAAAGAATAAGAATAATCAACTCATATAACCGAAAGCGAGTAAATATAAACCTCGCTTGGCTTTTTATTGGGCTTATTTGGATTAAAGCTCCGAAACTTACACACACCACCTCTACTACAAGTGAGGTATTATTAAACTGCAGCCAAGATGGAAAAAACTGTACTCACAAAGTTTTTGCTAATAACGTTCCTCCAAACAACGTAGCAGCTTTCCCAGAACCATATTTGTGGTTGAACATTATGTATTCTAAAAGACAGGGTAAGATTTCATTCCTCTGATAATACAGTTTTACGTTAAAATGTATGAAATTTTTATAGCTATATATATAAACCATAATTGTATTAAATTTCCTTTTATTACAGGGTGTTTCGTTCAAAAGTACTTTAACTTCGGGAGATAATTCCCAGGTCCAAGAAACGCTAAAGTACCGTACAGATTTGGAATATATTTCTATTAAAAAAAAAACATACATAAAAGTCAAATAATCTAAGAAATGATTCATTTAAATAATTTAGTCCATTAAATATCGTTTAATTTGATGTATAATATGTGTTTGTACTCCATGGATTCTGAAATGACGGCGGATTTCTCGGGAAATTATAATCATTGTTGGGGTACATCAATATGTGATGTTCCAAAATTATTTTTGGAGAAATTTTCACCTATCATACACCACTTATATTTTACGTTTTTCTAAAAAAAATTAAATAAATTGTTTAGGATTTTATCGAACAAAGCAGTAGATTCAGAAGCTAATTGCAACATACCAGAACCGATAGAACGGAAAGTTGTTAGCAAAAACTGTTGGTAACACTACACAGTATTAATACATGGAAAATTATATAAAAAATATGTACAGAAAGTTTGAAATAAATAAATAAAGCTTTCACAGAATGATTAAACATTTTGCACAAAAATCAATTTTGAACCACAGTAATTTAAATACCCGTTTAAGTATAAAAATCTTTGTTACAGATTTATGAATATAAAATGGACTAAATGTCGATATACGACTAAAGCAATTTAGGTTAGCAATTTTCATGACTAGTATCTCTTATATTTCTATATATGATATTTATACAATATTTGTATGATTGCATGTTTTTTTCGAATAAAGTTTCCTTTGACTTTTCTCGGTATCTCGGTAAATATTGAAATTAGACCCCCACATACTACTAAATTATTTAGTTTCTTGAGATATGGAATCATATTTCGACTTAAAATACTTTGAAAAGAAATAACCTGTAGATAGAAGGAATATTTATATTAATAATGCTTACGACAAATATTATAGATAAATTTTGTTTTTATTTATAGAAAGTAAGGCGCAAACAGATACGGATCGTCTAGAATCTATTAAAAAACAAATTCTTTCAAAGCTTGGTCTTACACAGAAGCCAAAGGTTTTCAATAAACTACCTAAGCAATATATTTGGGACACCCTTTATAGAGCTGATGGTGTAAACAGTGTCAGTGAGATGAACGGATTCACGCCTCATACTCGAACCATTGGCAGAATATTGCAAGGGGACAACTCTATGAATCACCAAAGTTTCAACGAACAATATTACTTAAATAACAAAGTGAGCAACTACAATCATAACTACGACACTTATATGACCAATGGAGCCGTATCGAATTCAAACTACTTAACTTTACTCCATTTAAAAAACAACACTAAAATATTTTCCAACTATATGCAAAAAGAGCAATATATTAAAAGCATCTTCAAAAAGGAGCAATTAAAAGACTACCCTACAGTCAACAAAAATACATATCTTTCCAATAATAATTACATCAATTTTAGCGCTCGAAGCACTAAAGATGTGTATCAAAATACACCTGAGCACATTTTTTTCGAAAATGAGGACTTTTTTGGAACAACACAGGAGGTGATTACGTTTGCAGAAGCTGGTAAGATCATTTTCTGAAATTTATAATTCGAATAAATTTTGTCATAAGTTGAATTATTAAATTCATAAGTATACTGTTTCTATATTTTTTTATTATTATTAATTATTTAAGAACAGATTTAAAATTTATTAAGGTAACCATCCAATATAGAGATATCAGTCTCTTGATAGGTTTACTTACAGGTCACTGTAAACTAGGGAACCATGCTAATAGATTAGGTCTTCCATTCAATCAAACATGTGGCAGCTGTAGGGAATATGAGAGCACCCCTCATCTACTATGTTTTTGCCCTGGTTATGCACGGTGGCGACACAATACTTTAGAAGCCCCCTTTCTTGAGAATCGTGATCAATTACAAGACCTGACAATAGTGGCTTCGCCAAAAGTTTTCGGTGGTTTTAAACCCTGAGTTTTCGTACAAATTTTAATTTTATTTTTTATATAATATTACATATCAGTTTTATTATGTGTTAAATTTAGTAAAAATTGCGCAAACCTGAAAGCTTATAGACAAATTTGATACATATGTATCATTACAAAATTATGTATATATGTATGTATCAACTGGACACAATACATATCAATCAACTTGAACTTGACACAATAAATTTAAATAAACTTTTTTTAAATTATTTTTTTTAAATTTGATTTACAGTACTATTCTGGCAACAATCACTGACTTCACCACATCCATTATTAAATAATTGGTTTGATCCTTTGCCATTCCTGTCACATTTGAAAGAGATATTAATTTAATGTCATAATTTTATGGCTCTCATAGCAAATCAAAACTTGACTGATAGTGAGATCATATCAATGAGTAAATATTATAAGTTAGACAATAAAATAATAATATTAAGATTATTAATAATATAATTGTTGCTATATATTATTATGTGTATTTTTGTCTGTTTGCTCATTAACCATTTCGATTAAAATTTCAATCCATAAACAAATACAGAATGTAGCATATCTGAATGAAATTTGTATGAAAAGTGATTATGTACTATAATCACAGATATGGACGGTAAACAAACCATACATGTCATATAATTTTAAAATTATTTTTATTTATATTATCGTCTCTGACCAGTTTGTCTCTTAAAGCTTAGTAAAATTTTTATTTAATATAATGATTCTATTAAAATCTCTTTACATTATTAAACTACAATGCCGCAAATCACAACTTTTCTTTATATTACTTGTACTAGAGGGCGCGAGGCAATTGTTTCTCAAATAAAATAATTAGAATTTAATGAACTATTTAATTTTATGTCCGAACAGTTGTTATATTCAAATATGGTTAGTATAATGATCGTTCATTTGATTATACCATATTTTACTTATTCTACACATTGCTTTACTAATATCAAAATTAAATACACATAGGTTTCATCTTGTTTTTTAGGGATCTAAAATTTATAATCTTTCACATACAACTACATACAGAGTATTTGTTGAAGAAATTAATAACCTTGGTTACTTTAGTAATTGTGGGCAAAATGTGACCACGAATAGCTGCAAATAAAATTAATATATTGTTAACGTTAACATTTTTATGTGGAAATTGAACTCATGGTTATCATGCATACATGTGTTTATTTTAGATTACCAACGCTTTCTTACACACATAGTTACGCTAGGATAGAGTACCTACTCTAATGCATTCGCAGTTTTCCTATTGCAACTACTCAATTTACAATACTTACAATACTTGCAATACTTAAAAAGTACAGTTCTAGATTAAAACAATAGAAGCAGAAGGAATATAAAGAGAGAACTCAGACTTCTATGAAATTTGTTGAATTATTAAAAACTGCATACTTGCAAGCAAATGCACATACTCATATACACATGTTTTTAAGGGCTATTGTCATACATATCTCTTCAGTAGATTGCACATACACATATTGAACTAACGTGCAACTCAATTAACTCTCATCGAGACAAACTATAGACACACGCACTTCACTATACAAGTCGAACACATTTATTGTAACCATCTTTAAGCTGTTTGTGTTTATGTTTTCATGTCTAGACTCTAGACTATTATACAACCATACTCTGTTGGTAATTATATTTGCTACCTCTTCTCTAAGCTAAAATCATTGTAATTTAAATATGTAAGAGTGTATAAGTCGGTCATCAACAACATTTCGTAGTACCCTACATGCTTTAACATGCGATGAATGTACGGATTGTGTTTATACGTTCGAGCTTAAATTATAACATTAAACTGAACTTTTTACGTCACTGATATTTAAAGAAAAATGTTTACTATATTGAAGATATTGAAGATATAAATTGTAGTTTTTTAGAATCTCAAGTATACACAGTCAGACCTTACTAACATCGACTTTCACATATGTACTAATAAAAGAAATTCAATTGTCCCTTCAGAGATAAAAACAAAGGGAATAATTGTAGAGGGTTTTTACTTCGTACTTGTAAAACTGTTGAAGCTTTTATATAACGTTCCTTATTATTATAGGTGCAAGCTAAGACTTGCGGGCAATAAATCTCTTAGATACGAAAATGTGACAAAATAAACACAAGTAAAAATATGGACGAGTGATAACTTACGTGTAAATGATTGTTCATGCACTTATCACCTCCTTGCGGTAGACAGGTAGACAGTTAGACAGGTAGACAGGCAGACAGTATTTTGTCTGTTCGCCAAGTAGTAACTCTGGTGAGTGCACTTCAAGCAGGCAAAAGTATTATATGCGGTATTATAACATTGTATAATAGGGTCATGTAAGGCAATATTATAAAAAGGGATTAAGCGAACTACAAGTATAAGATGCAATCGAGTAAAATCATTTCCGAATATTTTGAACACATCGTTACTACGCAACGTCCTAATAAAAAGTCTTATAAAGTCTTATAAATTGAACAATTTACAAATTATGATTTCGGTACTATTTCAAAGCAAATAATTAATTTGCTGTGCAACTCAAGTGTGTATCTTAAATTAAAAAACTAAATAAAAGTAAACAGCAAAATCGAATTGAAGAGTTTTGCTATTCTTTCAATATTGCATTTACATTTATTTCCTATATTCTGTTAGATTTGATGAAAACATAACTTCAACAATAGCATATTTTGGGAGTTTTTAAATTTTAATATATTAGATCAGATGCGATTGCGGGCCAATACAAATCACTGAACAGATTGGAGGCCCGCAGAAATTAATACATACGTTCATAGCCGCGGGTCGCATGGAGCCCGCGGGCCGTATTTTGCACAGCCCTGTATTAGATGATTGTTGACAAGAACAACCAACAGGAAAATGATCCCATATTTATTTTAATGGCTATCGATAGCACAACAAAAAAGTTAAGTTTGATTGACATGCAAAGAAACAAAAGGAATACTCGTGTTTTAAGTTATTTGCAACTAATCGGAGACTAAGAACAACTTTGTTTAAAAACTAATTACATTTTCAAACAATAGAAATAATAATAATCAACTAGGGTTGTAGTCAGATTTCTTTCCAGCACACGATACAAGTACGTATCCAAATTCATACTCCTAAAGGATATGTTAGGCAGGCGATCATATGACCTTTTCTAATCCAAATTTTTACTCCTTTAAATGATAAAACTCATTAAACGAAAAATATTATGTAATTTAAAATAATTATTTAATAAATAAATAAAATTAAAGATCAGCCTCTGAAAATATTGAAAAATAACGATATCGAGTATAAGAACAAAAAAAATGATTTATATTTCTGTTTTTAATATATTAACTAGGACTAAATAAAATAAAATTTTTAATTTAAAAAAGAAAACTACAGGAAGCTAGTAATAAGGAATTATCTCAAAAGTCTCAAAAAGAAATTTTTAAGTTACACTATGGTCACACACTATGGTATTTAAAGCATGATACAAGCGTTTGTCCAATACACTTGAAGTATGTCTTGCGTTAATGACGATATGATTAATCTTATTTTGTATTGATTGATCAAGACGGTGTCACGTTGGCATGTGAATATCTGGACTGAGTTTGAAAGTTTTCCGCTAACCACAAAACTGCACCTGAAATCCCATCTGTTTACTTGGCAGGTGTAGGAGCTATCACTCTTTGTTCCTTTAGAGCAGTCTTATCCTGTCCATTGAATGCTCCGGATAGCAGTGACGTCAGGCTTACACTTATTGAGGGCTTCTGCCAATCAGGTAGAGGTACCTTTCTTATGGAGAGCTTGGACATATCTATTAATAGTGATCCATAAAACTCTTGCGGGCTTGATCAGTATTTGGTTGCCATTTCCGTGACTGTTTCATGTATCTATATGTCGGCTGACTTTATGGGAGGATATTAAATCTTGTGCACAATCTAAACTTAAAATTCTTAGGATGTGACTCATTGTGTGCACTATTAGTTGATTACTCAGTGGTTGCCACGTGAAGGCTGGATTGAGGACATGGATTGTGCTGTCATTTTGTTAATTTAAAAGCTTAATGGCATCAAACACGTTGCTATGACTATACTCTCTGAGGAGTACGCGCTTAATCATGTGAGGTTTGATCTCAATCTGTTGCCCAATGTCAATTATATTCATAAAAGGCCACAATTCAATGGCTCCACAAAAAGTCTATGCACGTCTAGGTCAAGCGCGTACATAGTTATATTTTCTACTCGACAGACCCTATTTTGTAGCTGATAATTATAATTTGATTTATAGATAATCTTTTTGTGTAGAATTTATGTTATAATTACAAACTATATAAGTTAGTAATATACTCATTTTATTACATTCGGTTTTTTATATTGATTTTACACAATACTTTTGTGAATATTTCAGCACTAACAGTAATCTCAAACCATTTATTTGATATTTCATTTCAATCAAGATATAAGTTAAAGTATATTTATTAACATTATAGGTATATTGAGTTAAATGAATCAAAATTAATTGCATCACACACAATTTATATTGAACAAGGTGGTGTTAGTTCGGCTATTATTACACTACGACTACAATTGCTAGACCTTACATCAGTTACTGTAAAGTCAGTAAAATTTATATTCATGAGGTGCATGACTGCGGTTAAAGCAAGAACACTCATCTATAATGAAAGAAACCAAAGAATTGGATGTCACAATTCTGCAGAAACCAAATCCTGTTGCGACTATTTGAAGTGGATGTCACAATTCTGCAGAAACCAAATCCTGTTGCGACTATTTGAAGTGGATGTCACAATTCTGCAGACTGATTGACATCACTGGATGCATCTTATATCCTGTATACGACATTGTATCCAAATTGTCAATAAGGCTTCCTCCAAAATGTTTATGGTGACAAGTTCAACAGTAAAATAACCGTTTGTTAGGTTTCTTCGCAAAGTTTAAGATGTCACGGAGCTTGGCGCTGTCCAAATTAGTAATTCTGTTATGCAAATAATGAACAAATTAGTTTGGTGCAGTCTATATTATGTTGATATCTATTTTAGATGCAGAAAAATGAAGTCCATATTTTTCCCAACTGAAAGATGAGATTTTGTATTAAAACAACTTTCAACAGTTGACTCAGTTTTGTTTGAACGCACATATTATACAGTTTTTCTATTATAAAGGCGAAAACGCAAACCAGGCGGTTGAAAATATAAATAGTGTTTATGGTCCTGATACTGTAACAGACAATTCTGCTTAATTCTGGTTTCGTCAATTCCGTTTCGGTAATTTCGATCTCAAAGATCCACCAGGCACTGGAAGGCCAATTTTCGAAAATGTCAATAAAATAATGAAAATTGTCGAGTCTAACCATAACGGTACATGATATAAACACTGTTTCGATTGCACAAAAAACCGTTAGAATCAGATACAAAAGAAAAGTTTGGACAACGATGTATGGATGCCACACGAGTTAGTGCAAAAAACCTAATGGACCGAATTTCCATCTGCAAATCGCTGCGGAATTGCACAGAAACTGGCCTATTGCTGAAACGGTTGGTGACTGGTGATGAAAAGTGATGGCTGATCACTTACGACAACGTCGAGCGAAAATGTTCGTGGTCGAAGAAGGGTCAGTGATCTGAAACGGTGGCCAAGCCAGTATAAACTGCCACGAAACTGCTGTTTGGCTGTGAGTTCGGTGGAATTGACAGGGAATCATCTACTATGAGCTCTTTCCCAAAGCAAAATTCTGAAGTCGGAAATGTTCTGTCAACAATTGCAGCGTCTGAAGAAAGCAATCGCCCAGAAACAGCCAGCATTGGGCAATTGGAGAGGAATTGTGTTCCATCAAAACAACGCCAGACCATACACATCGATAATGACTCCCCAAAAACTCCGGGAGCTTGGTTAGGAAGTTCTTATGCATCCACATTATAGTTCAAACCTGGCCCAAGTTATTCCCTTCTGTTCCTGTCCATGGCGAATGATGGAAAAAGTTTCTGGTGAAAAATGCGTTTCCTGGACTTTAGAGAAAACTTAATATTTAATATAATTTACACATGAACTTTCCAATTAATTTTCTGGCAACAATAAACTTTGTACACTAAACTTAATTTAAGTATTTCTTAACTCAAAACCATTCGTTGTTGTTTCAAAAGAAGTTGCTGCCCTTTGTAAATCAAAGCAGTGCACTGCACTAAACTGTTGAATAATGCATTAGGGGTGTTCAGACGTAACGTTGCAACTCGGTAATTGGTAAAGTGATAAAATGTCAATGACTGAACGCCATTTTTAAATTATTTTTCGGTAGTGTTGTGCAATTGATCTTGGAGAGTTATTGATTTGGCATGAGGAAATATGAAAAAATAAAATTATGATTTATATAAAACTTTCTCTTTTTTTAATTATATATTTAACTTAAAACAATTATATATTGTTTTAAGTTAATTTTTTAACGCTTATGTTTTTCCGACTACCAAGAAGCCTCTGTTATTCGTTAACGCGGTAATGTTGGTATTTCATTAAAACAAATATACATAATATACATAAAATATTATGTCTTCGAAAACTGGATTCGAATCGTATAATGAGATGTCAGACATCAGATATATTTTCCTTATCATTAATATATAGGAATCGTTATACGCAATTAATGTAGTGAAAAGTAAACTAGGATTTACAAACATGATCATATCATCACTTAATACTCGTTTTTAATTTTGGTTGTTGCAGGAACAAAATATAAAAAACATCGGTTGATAGAATTTTCAGCGCAGATAAAAAACGTTCCTAGCCAGAAGTCATTCATTCGGAATGCGATGATACATATTCGAATTGGTAAGCATGCAGGCAATGTAGCCAAATATGTATTGAATCAAAAGCACAAAATACGGAAATCTCAGTCAAATGCGAAACTAAAAGTTTGGATTTTTCAAGTGATTACCAGTAATCTTACACTAAAAGTAAGTATTTTTGAACTTATACTTATATGGTATGTACAATATGTAAATATTTAGCACTTATTAAAATCGTGTAAAAACTACAAACAAAACTCCGTTTTGGAAAAAATTATGAAGAAAATTGGTGTGATTTTATTAATTTTATAATCAACCACCTAATAATAATAACTAAATGAAGGGGGTTTTTCAGAGATCATAATAATATCCATAAAATGGATTAATTTGGAAGATAAATGTATGCTATGTTTGAGTATAATATTGGGAGTAAGAGTATGGGCCATGTTATGTAGAGTATCTCAGGCACGACATGAGTAAAATTGTTGTAGTTTTCAATGCAATTTTTAAAAGTGAGAGTGAGAGAAAAAAAATATGTCGGCATTTTCGTCATAGACCAAGAGAACCAATTTTGCCGTGTTCAAAACACTCTACATAACATGGCCCTATGCAAAAGTTGGTTTTCAAGTGGTTTCATATTTCGGGTTTATCTAAATAGACCAATGGAGAACAAAAAGACGTCCCATGGAGGACTACAATGTCTATTCACGTTAAAAAGACTACAAATAGTTTTCAATAGAAAGAGTACTCGTATTGCTAACTTAAGAATGAGACCTCTAAAAAATACTCTTCACTTTTCTATAACAATAAAAATAAAATAAATTTATATAATTTATTTATAAACTTTTAGTTGCGAGTTTACTTTATAAAATTTTTAGATTACTACACTAATAAAACATTTTTTATCATTTAGGGCTTCGATGAATTTGCAAGACTTCGCGCTTCGTTTAATGTTGACACCAAACGATTAGGGTGGCAGAAATTTGATTTAACTCAAACAGTAAATGATTGGTATGCCAATAACGTTTCAGAGAAACTAAAACTGTTAATTGATTGTACTGGATGTGGCAGGGAGTATGAACTGTATTTATTTGATGAAGTAAAAGCCCCAGAAAATATACAAAGAAGTGAACAGAAGCAGAAACAGTCTGAACAACAACAGATCCAGAACCAGAACCAGAACCTGAACCACAACCAGAACCAGAACCTGAACCAGAACCAACAAAATTTTCGTTATAAGAAGATGAATATATTTTTTCACAACAAACATAAAGAAAAAATTAAAAATAAAAATTTCCCAGATAAAAATAAAGCTGAAGGCAGTCTTAAAGGCGATTATATTAAGAAAAATATGAAAGATGGCACAGAGATAAACCAATATGTAAATAATTTAGATTACAGTTTGCCCCCTACGATAGGTATAACAAAGCAAAATAATGATAACTGTTTAGAAATGAATCATTGCAAATATAAAAATTTTAATTTATTTTCTGGACAAGATTCATTACTTTCTTCACCAAAACTAACACAGTTAAATATTAATAACACTGAAACGGGAGCGTCATTGAAATTGCAGCAAGATCTTAATCCAAACCGTCCATTTCTAGTTTTACGAACTGAAACAAAACGTTTGCGACGTGTTCGCAGACGAGCTGTAGACTGCTCTGGTGCCATGCATGGCCAGTGTTGTAAGGAATCCTTCTATGTGTCTTTTAAAGCACTTGGTTGGGACGATTGGATAATCGCACCCAGAGGTTACTTTGCAAACTATTGTAGAGGCGATTGCACTGGTCCATTCCGTACGCCTGATACCTTTCAAACTTTTCACGCTCACTTTATTGAAGAATACCGCAAAATGGGTCTATTAAATGGGATGAAACCATGCTGTGCCCCAGTAAAATTTTCAAGCATGTCTTTAATATACTATGGCGATGACGGTATTATTAAAAGAGACTTACCAAAAATGGTTATTGATGAATGCGGCTGCCCATAGAAACAAATACATTTATTTTTGTTTTGGGTTTTCGAATGTAAACAAGCCGTGAATTACTCATTTTATTCGCTGAATATAAACTTTAAAAAATTAATTACAAATTCTAGTTATTGTATATTACTGAAATGTTGCATAAACAGTATGCAACAGTACAGAGAGAAGTAAAAAATCAGCGAAATTCATGTCCATTTATAATATTTACTAAATTTTAGTTGAACCCAGTATGAACAAGGCGGAAAAAATTAGGCGAATAATATTGTACCATCATTACATATCAAGTCCTTAATTACGCACTTGTTAATTTTCACACTTAAGAGGACAAATAAATGTTCAGTCATAAAAACGTCTTGCACGTTGGGGTTCCTATGCAATCATAGGTTCTTTAAAATCTAAAAAAAATTAGAAGTCAATGCAATCAAATGCCGATGTCACTATTATTCCTCTTGGTTTTTGCTATATTCTTTGATGTGTAGCACCCATATATATAAATAGATAAATATCCATTTAAGGAATAAGAATGCAAAATGAAAAATAAATTAAGGTGACTACGTTAAACGATAAGTCAGATTAAAACTGATTCGAAAATATTATTATTTAAAAAAATATTTAGACTATCTTTTCACGTTTTTATTATATGAATATGAATAATTTCAATTCTCTTATCATGCACGTAATTATCACTTTTTTATTATTATTAAAAATGAATAATATAATCAAAGGTTTTAAAAATAATAACTTATTAAAGGAGTTAGCCCGTGATATTCAAGAAATCATTGAACCGCGTAGATACAGTATCCGCGTAATAATTTCTATCAACCTGTCATTTTCTCGTTTAATAATCATTATATTGTGCAGACCAAAAAATTATGACGTATTTCTACTAATTTATTTATATTAAAAACAAATATTAATCAAATAATGGTAATAACATGTTACCATGTTTCAAAAGTAGTTTTGAAGACACCAGAACTTGCACAAGTGGAAATCCAAAATTTAATTATTTAATTTAATTATTTAATTTAATTATTTAATTTAATTATATTTTATGTAGCCTCTCGTTGCATTATTGGACATGTTGAGTATTCAATTGTCGATAGTACACATTTGGAACATTCGTATTTGGTTTATTGATAGCACTTAAACGTAATGCTTTTAAATTCCACCGCACTAAGACCTAAGACCATAACCTTCCTTTTATGAAGATCTCTTTTTATAATCGTTCCAGACATTTTTGTAAAGAATCCACTTATCAGTTAGTCGCTTTAAGAAAGCATTTTTACCTTATATGTAAGCATAACCCAGATGTTAATGTGTGCTGTCAAATGAACTTCGTCGAGTTCTAAATCATTTGCATGAAATGTTATTATGGAGCTAACATTATTATTAACATATGAAGCTAACGTTATTATGGACCATTATCACCGCAGATTTTATGGAAGTTCTCTTAAACTTGCACTGATGTGCAGTCTTCCCTTGGAGGACAATCAAATCACTTAATTTTTTTTTAATGAAACTAGAATTGTCAATATTTCTAAAAGTTCACTAATGTAATCTGATGCAAACATGCATCATGACTTTTTCAACAAGATAATATATATTAAAATGTATTAAATATATTTCATATTTTTAATTGTTTCGCTGGCGTACAGAGAGCGTGAAAATCTGATTTATTTATAATCTTGTAATCAACTGGTGTAAACTTATTGTACAATACACTAAATTACGATATATTCTTAAGAGAGTTAAAATAAAAATAAAAGCAATAGAAAGTGGTTGTGGATGGTTATCATAGGGAAATTACGTACCTACGCAAAATTAGTTATGCTTTCAATTCAAGAGTTAACATTTCAACAATTCTTCCATTTCTTATTTAATTGAAAGAGTTTCATATTAAATAAATAGTAATTGAATAATAGCGATCAGATAAGGGATAGAGTCTGTGCTAGAGAGTTTTTGTGTATCTGCTGTAAATATATAAGTATTTGAAAATATTCCGGTGACTATAATTGTACATATTCCATGTTTCTAGAATACTCTGCCTTAGTTGACACATTCAAACGAGCGATTGTCAAACGAAATTGTATAAATGACATTGAAATCTCTAACTATAAACGTTTTAAATACGTATTGAATATCTATCGCCAATACTAAATTTTCTTCAGAATGGAGTTTAAAGCCATTTAAGCTTATGTTAGAAAAGTTTGGCATATTTAAAAAAAAAAATTAGTATATCTTCTACAATGGATTTTGTTAATATTTTGTTTGTTGGACTGCCGTAATTCACTTTCATTTCGAGTTTATTCTTGACACAACTTCTTATGCAATTTCTCAAGGATGAGTAGAGTTCATTCCTTCTATTGAAATATTTCTATTGAAATATATGCGCGTACAGATTTGATACTCTACAATATTGCACGCTCTGAAGTCACTATATAGCATAAGCAAAGATGTAGAAACAGTTTTGATGTTGACAACTTTAATAAATATACATATGTATGTATGTACCCATATAGTTATTCACACTTTGGACTAATTTTTCAGTTTGTTTTGATGAAAGCGGTTACTTGGTATTTCTGAACTCAGTGCTTTTAGCACTCCTGTATACCATATTGGTTTTATATGATTATCGCATATCGTGAACTGTTCTAATGAACAGATAGATATATTTAGCAGTTGGATTAACAGTTGGCTTAAAAAATTGTTTTCCTTATTAGGGGTCAAAAGTTGTTATCTTATCTAAAATTGAAAAATAACGTTTATGTGCAATTTTCTTTATATTACTTCATTACTCACTAATTTCAATTCATTGGAAGGCAGTTTTTCAGTTAGTATTTAGATTTCTCCTTTTGAGAACAGCCAATATATTGATAACCAAGTTTAACAAATGTTTAATACTAACTGCTTTCTTAGCCTTAATTGAGTAAAAATACGTTTTCTAAATATAATAAATTTTGTGAATAAATATGTTACAATTTAAAATATGATTAATATATTATTAGCGAATACATTGAGAATAATTATGCTTCCTCGCCTATTGCCAAATGTCCTTATAATGGACATGAATGAAGACTGCTGCTTCATTTGAAAATATTTGTTTAATTGTTTGTATTTCTCCAACTCTTTGTTCTAGCGTTCAGTGTTGGTTGACTACGAAGCTGACTCAAAATGTCAAGTAAAATAGATATAGAATTTACCTTAACCATTTACCGAATAAGAAGAGTACTAAAGAACCATGCTTTTTTCTCAAAATCCTTTTTGACTAAAATTTTTTAACAAACAACTGTTGGACTGGACATAATTGAGAGTGTGAGTTGCCAAAGTCAGTAAAGCTCTTTAATTCGCAAATTATTTTTATGGTGTTCGATAAGAAATATACCTACATTATATGTATTAAACGATATTATGAAAACAAAAAAACAAAAGTGCCTAATATTTATATACAATACGATATAAGTAAGAAAAAAGTACATGGATTTGAACTTTCTTTTTTTATAATAAATATTAAGTGTAAGAAAAAAATTTGAAATTCAAAAATTTTATATATGGTTTTGTATTATTTTTTTAATATATGGTTTCTTTAGTTTTGTTTATGAATAGTATAATATTAATGTAGCAATTTAAACTTCAATATTAAGTGAAAATAAAGTTCAGCAGATTTTTTTAAAATTATGTATATCTTGCGGTCATTTTTCACAAATCCTTATATTTATGTAATTTTAAAATTAAAGTAAGCAAACCAAAATGTACAGGGCATAAACTAGTGTAATAAATTGAGTAATTCCGCAATTATATAAGCAATATATGTATGTGTAAATCACCAACTATAAATATAGAACAAATACCAACCATATATTAATATAACAATACATAAAGAGCATTTAAAATGTAATCATACATTAGAAATAAAAATATTGTATTTATATATTATAGTTATGATCTAAAAAATTCTAATTAAAGTCCCCTATTTTATTAGATAGTCGAATTATTTGCAATTTTCATAATAAATATACAAAAAACTTATATAAGTACTATAAGCATATATACATATATATACTAATATATATGTAGATTTCCTTAAGTGTTAAGAATAAAAGTTTTCTATTAAATCTTTAATTAATTAAAAAATTATGAATTTTTAAATTTTTAAATATACCATAAATATGTAAAATTAAATACACACGTTCTAACCAATTTAAGTAAAACTTTGTTCTAATTAAACGTTTGTACGGAAACTATTGCAACGGCGAGGTTTTTATTGATGAAAGCCTTGCTATATAAGTGATTAGATCGTGTGTAACAACCACTCAAAAATATGAAATAATAAGAAAAACGAAATCCGATTGCACCGTTCGATTACACCGTCAGTTGTATGTATGTATGTATGTATGTATGTATGTATGTATGTATGTATGTATGTATGTATGTATGTATGTATGTATGTATGTACGTCTGTTGTATGTATGTATGTATGTATGTATGTATGTATGTATGTATGTATGTATGTACATGTATGTATGTATGTATGTATGTATGTATATGTATATATATGTATGTATGTCGCTGCAAATTTTCTCAACAGAGTTTTTGTTTCGACAAAATGATAAAAAATTTGCTTAATTATTAAAACACTTAAAAATCATACAAACAAATTAAGTGCATATATATACAAACAGAAGAGCTTTAATCAAAAATATATATATATATATATTTATCTCAAAACAAAAATTTTCATTACGATTTTTGTAGTTAAAGTAACCAATTTAAGCTCAGCAATTCGGATGGCGCACCCTGTATTTTATCATTCTTTGCGTCAAGCAGTATATAAATGTAATATCTCAAACTTCCAGAGCAAAATAAATGATATAATTTAAATAAGTTACATGTTAATTAAATAATTTTTATAATCAAATACGATATTAAAGAAATTTTTTAAATTTAATATAAATACCTATAAATAAAGATTAACGATAAACACGATTAATTGAAGAAAGATATGACCAATAATTCAGCGTTTAAGCATATATAATGTTTTATAATTCATACACCTACCCCTACATTAATATACATATATAAAAACAAGTATTTACATATGCTTACAAATACTGAACCGAAGAAATAAACATGATTAATATATTTCTATTTGTTAATTTTTTATTAAATCATGATTAAAATCAATTTAAAAAACTGAATCGAAAGAATATTTTTAAAATTAATAAAAAAAAAATAAAACTATCCAAATGCTTGCTTTTCATTTTATGTGTTTCAATTTACTTCAACAATAAATATTTAATAAAATATTTTATTATTAAAAAGAAAGGATCGTGCACTGCGTCCTAAGAGATGTATTTTGCCCTTTTAATATTTTATTATTCATAAAATATTTAATAAATCAGACAAATACTTGATATTATGTTAATCTGTTTCAGGGGACTATCAAACAATTACTTCCTTACCATAAATATGCAAACTGTTG